CCCGGGCCCCCCCCGGCCTGGGCCTTGCGTCCGGCGGGCGAGCCAGGCCGTGGAGGGGGCAAAGCTCTTGCCGGCCTCTGTGGGGACACAGGGCAGGCCTGCCTCACTGCCAGAGCCCCCCAGGACACGCCTGAGCCCCGACCCCCAGCCCAAAGCCCTCTCTCTACCCCTTTAAAGACTAACAAGATGGTTTATTAAGTGATGAGCTTTCGTGGGCCAGGAAGTGGGTCTGGCCAACGAAAGCTCATCCCCTAATAAATCATCTCGTTAGACTTTAAAGTGCTGCATGGTCCTGTTTTTTGCTTCAGCTGCACCAGACTAACACGGCTGCATCTCTTCACTATTCTATCTCTACCCCAAAACTCTTGTCCCCAATTCCAGCCCAAAGCCCGCACTCCAGCCTAGAGCTTGTACCCCCCTGTCCTCCAACCTCCAGCTCTGAGCCTCTCCCCAAACCTGGAGCCCCCTCCTGCATCTCCACCCCCACCGCCTCATCCTGGCCTCGCCCCGGAGCCTGCTGCCCCAGCCAGCATCCTCACCCCTGCGCCCCAGGCCTGAGCCCTCCGCACTCAGAACCCCTTGGCCCCACCCCGCCACATGAATTTTATGTGCACCGATATGAAGGTGATGTTGCATGTCACCTCTGTGTCGCACATCATCCCCGTGTTGCACGTCGCCTCTGTGTGGCACATCACCCGTCGCACGTCTCCTCTGTATCGCACGGCGTCCCCGTGTCACACATCGCCCCCCACGTCGCACGTCATCCCTGTGTGGCACATCGCCTCCGCATGGCACGTCGCCCGTGTCGCACGTCTCCTCTGTGTCGCATGTTGTCCCCATGTCGCACGCCATCCCCGTGTTGCACGTTGCTTCCACATTGCACGTTGCCCATGTCGCACGTCTCCTCCGTGTCGCATGTTGTCCCGGTGTCACCTATCACTCCCCATGTTGCACGCCACTCCCGTGTGGCACGTCACCTCCACACATAACAAAATTCGTTCTGCTCAGGGAAAAATGAGGGAGAGAGCCCTGCTTGGAGGGCGGACCCCAGAGTGGACCCAGGAGTCCTGCAAGGGTCTTGTGAACGCCCCTCACTTTAGTAGCCCAACTCAAGGTTCCTTACCCAGCTGGGGACTCCATCCCACGCTGCTGGGAGTCCTTGGCCAAGCTTTGGAGAGAACAGCCAGGGTCGCGTGTCCCCCGAGCTGAGGGCTGGTCTCAGACCTACACGCCGCACCGCGCCGAGAGGGGACCCCGCCCAGGGGGTGTGTATGGAGAACACGGCCGCTAACGTCCCCCGCTTTCTCCCCTTCCCGTCTTTCCAGTTGCTCTTCGTGTTCCCCAAGATCATGCGCCACGTCCCGGGGCCCCACCGGCAGATCTACCAGAACTACCTGAAACTGGCGGCTTTCGTCGGCGAGCAGCTAAAGACGCACCAAGAGACCTTGGACCCCAACAACCTGCGGGATTTCATCGACTGCTTCCTCCTCAAAATCCAGCAGGTGCCCCGGCTCTTCCCCTGCCCGCGGGAGCCCCCCCACCGAGTTGGCCACAACACGAACAATCGTTTTGTGGCACGACGGATGCTAGCCATGGAAAACTAGCCACTGCTAACGACACCCCAAGAATCCAGCCTCAGAGCCCAGAATTCCACCCCTGGAACTCCAGGGCAGGCCCATTCTTTGGCAGCAGTAGTAAGCTATTATCCTCTGGCAGGATCAACCAAAAGAGGGTGCCGGGGTGCATTTCACAGGCGTGGCACTAACTCTTGACAGCAGGGGACTTACGTTCCTTCCAGTCCAACGTTTCTAATTTAGGGGAGCGGCAGTGGGCGATGAGTTATGAAGCCCACGTTATTTTTTGGATGGGTGGGGTCAGAGCCATCTTTACGCATACACACAACACCCAGCGGCGTAGGGCCCCCGAAAATTTGGGGCACCGCTGGGTCTTAATGCCCACCCTGTTCTGTGGCTCTACTTCCCCCAAAGAGGGTCTCATTCGCTTACACCTGCCGGACCTTCGTGTAAAATTTGCTGTAAAACTATTTCATTCGGGTGTCGCTGCAGATGATCAAATTGCAGCTCTAAAACACGGTCCCCTCTCCGCTGCCGTCGGGCACAGGGGCACCAGTGTAATAGGACTGCGGACGGCCCTATACATTCTGAGGATGGCCCTAGATGGGGAGATTAAAACTCTTTGGGGCTTGGGGGCCATATTTCCTTGAAATGGAAAGAATGGGGAGGTTTTAAAGGAATTTAGGAGGTGGGGCGGAGGGAGCGCAATCATAGAATCATAGAACTGGAAGAGACCTCAGAAGGTCAAGTCCAGCCCCCTGCTCTAGGCAGGACCAATCCCAACTAAATCAACCCGGCCAGGGCTTTGTCAAGCCGAGACTTAAACACCTCTAGGGATGGAGACTCCACTACTTCCCTAGGTAACCCATTCCAGTGCTTCACCACCCTCCTAGTGAAATAGTTTTTCCTAATATCCAACCGGGACCTCTCCCACCACAACTTGAGACCATTGCTCCTTGTTCTACCATCTGTCACTACTGATTTTTTTTTAGAGTCAATGTAATAAAACCACCACCAATTGTGTACTTTAACATAGCTCTTGTTACAGAAATAATAAAAATGGACGCAGTAGCTAGAACTCAGTAATTCTTAACCCTTTTAATTGAAAAAATATCCCAATGATTTCAATTGCTACTGCACTAGATGGAGTGTTTAATATTTGCCAGGATAGTTTGCCCAATAACTGAGCCCAAAAGTACAGACGTGACTTTTTTTGGCGAACCCCCGCCTTTGTCGAAAAGCCACTTTTCCTCAAAAAGTGAGGTTTACATGGCTTTCTGATGGGGGGGGGAGGAGTTCACCAAAAAAAGCCACGTCTAAATTACTTTCACTTTCGAAAGCTCCACTTTCGAAAGTGAGATCGGAAGGAGATATGCAAGTTCCCACAGAATTAGCATATCCTCTTTCGACACTTTAGCGTAGTCTAGATGAGCCCTAAGAGAACACAGTGATACCATTGCACAGAGGAACAACTGTGTAGGACAGGACATAAATAAGAATACCATATCTAACTGAAACTCCAAGCAAAATTTAAATACGCAGAATATACTATCTTCAGATTTTGGCCAGGACCAATGAAAATAGCTGTGAGAACTTAAAAAATCTTGGCTTATCAAGATTTCACTTTACCATGTCAGATGGGACATTCAAAAAATTAAAGTAATTTAGGAATTTCTTCTGACTGTCAAAGGGACTCGTGCTCCTAAATCACCTAGGCTCTTCTAAAAAATCACACCCATGATCTCAAACACAGCATTTCTAACTGTACTGAGCTATCTGGTATCACACTGGGGCATCTGGCAAGCACTAACCCAGAATCATCAGCATCACTTCTTATGGGCTCTGGCTGGGCATTGCTTAGTGCATGTGGTTCCTGGACAGCAATGAAATGAGGCCGAGGCAGGCTCCCTCCCTAGCCCTGCACCATTCCCCAAAATGGCCAGAAAGCTCCCTCCATTCCAAGCCCTGTTGTGCCTGAATGTGGGGTACAGGGATGAGAGGAGCACCCTGACATCAGCAACCTACAGAGCAAGCAGGAAAGCTCCAGGGAGGCAGTTCCAAGATAGAGGTCAGGAGCAGTATGGCAGAGGGGAGGAGAGTCAGCTGAAGTGCTGATGCTTGGTAGCCTCCCAGACAAATCAGTCAGAGTCTGCAAGAGCTACCTATAGATCCTGATCTACCAGTTGGTGGCTACTGAGCTAGAGGACTGCTTTCATTTTCAGTAGAGTAGATTTGAGATTCGTGGTATAGGCAGGACAAAGGAAGTTGGCACATGGGATTGTAAGATATATTTTGGAGGAGGCCGAAGATCTGAGTTAGAGGACGAAATAGGTTTAAGGCATGACTTGGGCTCAAGTCATTCTGGGACTGAGTCCTGAGTTAGTACGATTTATATGGAGATAGAAGGGGGTTAGACTTGAGCCTCAGTCTGGGTATGTCTACACTACAAAGTTAATTCGAACTAACAGACGTTAGTTCGAATTAACTTTGATAGGCGCTACACTAGCACTCCGCTAGTTCGAACTTAATTCGAACTAGTGGAGCGCTTACTTCGAACTAGGTAAACCTCATTTTACGAGGACTAATGCCTAGTTCGAATTAGCTAGTTCGAATTAAGGGCTGTGTAGC